GCTATAACTAAGCATTGTGCACTTACAAGACATCGGGATGTGAGATATATGAATTGATAATATACGCTTGAAAGCAGGGATAATTATGAAACATTTTTTTACCCCTCAAAAAAACCCTGGGAATCTTTTTGAAAAACTGCTCACCGTAGCTTTATCGAGTGTTACACACGCCAAATGCATGTATGCTAAGTGTAACACTCGACAAGTCTGCCATGTGGCGCACTATGGTAGCCAGGTAGTATTTGTCGAGCACCTGCCTGCGACACTCGACAAAGGCTACCACATGGAAGGCTTTGGGAGTGTGCCAGCTGGCAAGGAAACCAAGTGTCGGGAACGGTACTAGGCAAACAAAAGGACACACGTCGCTCTCAGGTGAATCAACCTTCGCCGAGTGTCGGGCACTCGACAACTAAGCTCGGCTCTTTTTTGAGTGTCCTGCCGTCGGTACTTTACAAACTTGAATGTCATGTGGAGCTCTCCAATGGATCGGTCTTCACCGAGTATTGTCGGGCCTTAGGTAGTCGACAAATGTTGGTGCCATGTGGCAAATGTCGTTCTGTTTGCTGTTCATCAAGCCACTTTAGTTTACCGAGTCCGCATGTCTAACACTTGACAAAGGCTTTGCTAAGTTCCCCATGATAGGAACCTGACAAAGCCCGCTTCGCCTGAAGGGTGCATGCCAAGCACCTTTTGCCGACTGCAATACTCGGCCCTTCGCCAAGTACACTGGATAGCCGACAAAGAAACAGATTCCAATAGTGCACATGATATGCAGACCGGACAAATTTGCTAGCTAGTTGGGGTTAAGGAGCAACACCGCTTATTTTTATTTACACTTTTTTTCACATTCGTGTAGTTTAAAAAACGTCATAAACATTATGGGACGGAGGGAGTAAATCCAGGGGCGGAATTGGGCCAGGGGCAGCTGGGGGGCTATAGTCCCCAGCTGTGGCCCAACTAGTGTTGTACATCTAGTAGGAATTTTGGTCAGATTTGTAGCCCTATAGAGGCCCAGCCATAGGCGTGCTAACACAGCCCCATGCCTCAGCCCACACAGCTTCTCAACCCAACCGAGCCCCCATCACGCAAGAATCGCCGAAGGGAATCGATCGCTAGTGTTTCCATTTTCTAGGGCAAAAAATCGATCGCTAGCGTTTTCATCTCTCGCCTGATGCCGTTCGTGCGCCGCCCCACGCGTTTCCCTGCTCGACAGACCGGACGCCCGGAGCTCGGACTTTCCAGATCATCTCGCTTTGTATCTTGGTACATCTCGCATCATCGGAGCAGCCCTCCTATTTTGTCATCCTGTTCTGCTCCATCTCCGTGACTGGTTGATGGGTGATTTAGGTAATCTCTCTTGTTTCTCGTATCAACTAATCGCCCATAGTTCCTTTGTATGAGCCGAATCAATGGGGTGGTGGTGTTAAATTGAAGTCAATTTCTCTTTCTCTCTTTCGCCTTCTTTGTAAATACTCTGTTAAACAAAAATCAATAAAATGAGTTCAACCCGCCGTAGTTCCCTCAAAAAAAAAAATTGAAGTCAATTTTTATTTGTTAATAAGAAAAAAAAATAGAAACTCAAGATGTGTGGTATTTGGCCTTTTTTTGAGGTATTTTTTTCAAGGTAGTGTTCATTAGCGTTATTTATAACCGTTTAGTTTTAGCCCTAGGCTTCGTGGTGGTGGTGTCGGGGAAATGATTTGATAGGATGATGATATGGACTGTTTCATCCAGTGTATTGACTGACTTGCACTTGGATTGCATGAATTAATTTTGGAATGAACGCTGCACCATTCTTGTTGATTTGGATCCTTTACGACGCGTTATGCTGTCGAAATTTCTAGCCCCGACTTGTCCAAATTTTGGCCTTGTTTGTAATAAAGCCAAAACTTTTGGGTCTTGATTCACATATCGGAGGAGGTTGATAATAGTTTTTAGAATTAATATTTTGATCCATTCGCACATATCTGAGGAGGTTGATAATAGTTTTTAGAATTAATATTTTGATCCATTCGCACTATATTTCTACGAAAGCTTATAACAAACACAATTATGGTTTTGATTGACTACTTCCACACTGCAAATGCACTTCAATCCTATATGATTTAGAGAAGCAATTGTGCTTACATAACCCTCAAAATTATGTGGTGTACAACGTGTACTATACCACTGATTCTGCATTGGCTCAGTGAAAAAACACATGACACAGAAAAACTATCTAGGAGTTGCTACAGATATGGTTATATCATTAACACTGTAGGAGTGGGTAGCAAAGGAATCCTCTTCATCGCCTACCCTTAGGTTGAAATATGCCGGGTGCTTTGGCCCCCGCAGGAGCATTGTCTTGCTGCTTAGCATTGCAGTAACATCCAACATGTTCGGTCGATCAGCCGCATTCTCTTGCACACATAGTAGTCCGACGTTGATGCACCTCATCATTTCTGCTGGGTGAGACTTGGGAGTCAATGATGCATCAACAATATCAATCCAGTTTCCCTCATCCCATAACTGCCAAGACTATATGCAATTTCACCATATAGTTAGGTACAATACTATAGGTTAATAAAGCATTTAACTTCATGTTATATGGGTGTTTATGAACTCACATATCCGAGGAGGTTGATGAAACCTCCACATTGATGGCTACCAGAATTCCTTTTCCCACTAAGGATCTCAAGAATTAAGACACCAAAGCTGAATACATCGGATTTGATGGAGAATAGGCCCTCGGAGGCATACTCCGGAGCCATGTAACCACTAAAATGATGCAATATATACGTCAAGTTACTATATGGCTGACTAGTATATGTAAATATTTGTACGCGATCTAATTGATATAGAACTTACTAAGTACCAACCACTCTTCTTGTGGTGTCTTCTTCCGTGTTATTTGAGCTAAATATTTTTGCTAGGCCGAAATCTGAAATTTTAGGATTCATTTCATCGTCCAAGAGAATGTTGCTTGGTTTAAGATCTCGATGTATCACACGCAAACGAGAGTGCTTATGTAGGTAAAGAAGTCCTGCTATTCCTTCAATTATTGCAAGACGTTTGTTCCAATCCAATAAAGCTTTTCTACATTCATCTGCACATGATCTAAATGTTAATACATGGAGAGAAAAACATGTAAATGATAAAATTTGCACACTCAAATTTCAAGAGAGTGCAATTACGCACATAGGATTTCTAAAGAATATATAGTAACATATTTTCTATCATGTTTCAAGCATCATTGTTAAACAATATATATAAATATGGGAATGCAAATATGTACCAAATATGTAGAAGTCCAAACTTTTGTTTGGCAAGTATTCATAGACCAATATTTTTTCCTCTCCTTGGGAGCAACATCCCAAGAGTCTAACCAAATTTCTATGTTGAAGTTTGGCTATGAGCTGAACTTCATTTTTGAACTCTAAGACACCTTGTCCTGAATGTGAAGCAAGTCTCTTGACTGCTATCTCCAATCCTTGAAGAAAATGACCCTAGGGAAACAAAGATGATATTATGCCTCAATCGTGTTACATTATGGTGCACAATTTAATTCAAAACTACCAAGTAATGAGTACAAGGAAATTAATCACAATTTCAATCAATATTCCTCCACAGTTTCAAATAATTGTATGAAAAAATCAAATACATACAGCATATTCTTGTTTCTCTTGATTAGAGAATGCGTGAGGATTATATAAAGTATGATATATCATGTATGTACCTTATATACAGGGCCAAATCCTCCTTCTCCAAGTTTATTTTCTTCGGAAAAGTTACTTGTAGCTTCCAATATCTCGTGAAAATCATAAACTGTGAAGCCGGATAATCCTGCTTCCATATCCCATACTAGTTCTTGATCTCCTTCTTGCAACTTGTAACTACGTTTTTCTCGTAGTATCTTTGCACCTGAAAAATTGGGAATTGACCCAATATGCGACCCCCTTAATCAAATCTCTTTATATTTACCACATGCATGGAGTATGTGGTGAGCAACCTCCAAGCAATCAAAAATCTCTTTATATTTAGCGGAGTACTACTACATAGTACGTAGTAGCATTTCAGAAACTAATTTACCCACCATTTTTGTTCTTTCTTCCTCTGAGGCGACGACAGTAGACAGTGACGCAGAAAGCAACCAGTGCTAGTGGAGCAGCTACAGATATAGCAATTACCCAAGGCTGCGTTCCATGAACTTCAAAATTCGACATCCACAAATTATCGTACGGAGCAAAATAAATGAATGAATCTATTGTCAAAGCAAAATAAATGAATCTACACTCTAAAATACGTCTACATCCATCCATCCATATGTAGTCTTTAGTAAAATTTCTTAAAAGACTTATACTTAGAAAATGGAGGGAGTAGCTAATTACTGATAGCATGCCAACTAAATCAAGATTGGAACCACCACCAGCAAATGAATTTGTAACCTTTCAATTGTGTTTGTGCAACGACGTATGGATGGAGACAGAAACCAAAGTGTACTCTTGCCTGTGGGAGGAGCCGGAGCGTTGGACGATGGACTGATCCGCCGCATGGGATGATCGAAGAACATGAAAGTCTCGAACCTGACGTTGCAACGCAGCACGAAGATCCGTCCTCCCAGGCGCACAGACGTGGTGGCGTTGACCATGCCGATGAGCCGCTGGAGGCACGCCTGGCAGTCGCCGGCGGACAGGTCCGGCGTGCACTGCGCTAGAGAGTAGAGCGTCGGGGCAGAATCCATGACCACGGTGGCGTACCGCCTCGTCACGTTGGCGGCTGCGTCCTCGGACGTGGCGGTCAGCAGCTCGTGGACGCCGGCGGCGATGACACTGGCGACGCCGGAGATGTTCCCCGTGTTCCACGCCTGGAAGAGAGTGCCGTTCCCGGTGAGATTGGCCGCTGGGTTGAGGAAGCCATCGTCGCCGGAGAAGCCGAGCACGCAGCCTGGTCTCTGGTCGTTGTCGTACTCGTAGTAGACGGTGGCGGCCTTGTCGCTGGGGCATGTCCGCTGCGCGTGCTGGAAGGAGGCGGCGACGCAGTCCCTGCATGCGGTGTCGTTGGCGAAGTCGCCCCGGCAGAGCGCGAGCGCGTGCACTGCGTCTGGGGATTGGCCGGCAGTGGCGGCAGCGAAGAGCTGCGGGGAGGATGAGGCGTTGGCGGGGAGGGTGGAGGCGAGGGCGGCGAGGTTGGACTCGTAGGTGCCGTTGGCTACGTAGCTGCCGCCGCTGCCACAGAGCTGTGCCGTTGCAGTCGCCGGCAGCGGCATGAGCAGGAGGAGGAGCAGCAGGACGCCCAGCATGCTAGCTACCTAACCGCGGCACGGCCGGCCGCTCGATTTCTCCTTGTCCTAACTGCCTTGCTTGCTTGTTGCTTTCAGCGATCAGACCAACAGTCCATAGATTTGAAGCCGTAAATCATCGGTGCCACCTGTTTACTTCATTAATATTGTTTATTTATTTAGCAACTAAACTTCTTTTCCTCAAAAAAAATCAGCGACTAAACTTTTCCGGTGTTTTGTAAATATCCACATGCTTATCATTGTTTCTTTCTGGTGTCATCAAAATGATATATTTTTAATTGCATTGGCAATGTCGGTTTTTCATTTATGTGCCATGTTTAGATATGTACATTATGACCACGTGCCATATGTGGTAAGCAATTTAAATTATTTTTTAAAAAATATGTACATTGTGAATCAGTGGGAAGGACGTGAACATCAAAGGGAGATTAATGGGAAAAGGACACCTAGCACGTGATCATGGAGCTCGTCCTACATTTCGCATTTTTGCATAAGGAAACCGTTTAGGAAATTAAACTCAATTAGCCTTTCCCCCAAAGCTTATTATTTCAGGAATTATAGCTTTCCCCCCTCAAACCGACCCATACTAACCCAAATTTTCTTTAAATAACATTGCGTTGCTTTCAGTATCAGTCCGACAACCCGTAGATTAGAAACGTTCAATCATCCGCGTCACATGTTTCTTGGACTTCCCTAAAAAACCTGTTTCTTGGATGAAATAATTCTTCACGGTGTAATGCTTCATCGTACAAATTCTTTTTACGGACTGGGTTTACAAGATTAGGTGGAATTCAGGGGTATCCACACGAAAAATCAGGACCGAATAGAACAATGAATTAGTCCAAATGTCAATTCTCGATGTCACCTTCTTTAGTACTCTCAAGAATGAAAATTTCCATGGAAATTAATCCAACAGAACTTTCAAAAGTCAAGTCGTGGCTGCCGTGGAAGAATCGTTTTTTTCTTCTCTTAAATCTCTAACTAAAGAAAAGAAGAAAAAAAACAGAATATCTACCAGATCAGCCAAAGTTTCTATCAATTGGTCACCATCTTCTGGAAAAGAAGATACAAGTGTTCGGTATCTGCATACTCTTCCTATATGGTCCAAATCATGTCTACATCAGCTAAAGAGAAACAAAACCATGCCTTTGGGACACCATGCATAACTATGCGTCTGCTGGCTGATCTTTTTAAAAAATCGGCCGGGTTGCGAGCCACTAGATCTAGCGTTATCAAGCGGCTGAACAACGTCGATCACCATTGCAATAGAGCTAATGCTACAGAAACATTTGTGGCATAGGTAGTGTTGCAGAAACATTTGCAACGGAGATTATGTTAAAAAAAATTGAAATAGAGATCGTGCAGAAACGTCTGCAGTTTTTTTTTGCAACATGGTCATAGTGCATAATTATTTTGCAACAGAGATCATGTTGCAAAACATCATATTGTGTTGCAACAAAGGTCATGTTGCTTCTGCAATAGAAATCATGTTGCATGAACTATTGCTGCGGCAACACCAACGGTTGTGGTTGAGCTCGATGGGGCGGCAGCCATGGACGCCGTTGCTCCTACAGGACGGTGTCGGTGTTGAACGGCGGGCGACCCTATGTCAGCGGATTGCTTCGTTTGGTGGTGTAGTAGTGGTGTGTCAGCGCCGCTGTGCCGAGTGCGGTAGCGATCATGAACCCCGTCGCCCTTTGCACCGCCTGCCGTCGAGGCGCCAAACCACCGTCGTCCACATCGCTCCAGGCAACCAAAATTAGTGCTTGGTCTCACAACTACGTACAAGAACACCGATCAGTGATCACGGGAGTAAGGGGAGATCGAGAGGCTCAGACTGACAAACAAATCCACCCGTCACGTTAGAGGTTTGCTTCATTGTGAAAGAACTTAAGGAGATTCACAAGGAAGAAGATGGTTCAGTGGTGGAGAAACGCGTGGATGCTATTTTGCTGGGAATAAGGATGGATGAGCCACACATGGGACACACGTCACGTGCTAGAGGCGGCGGACACCCGCACCTAGATCGGCGGAGTGGTCAGAATCATTTCCCATATCATAAACAAACAATTAATCTAGGTAAAAGTATGCAAAAATATAATGAAGGACTATACACCAATTAGGAAGGGCGGCTTAAACTTATAAATTGTACAAGAGTTGTAGTATCATCAATATAGACTGCGACATATAAACCATGTAACACGAACAAAATATTATCTAGGAAGTGTGGCTGATATAGTCATATCATTAATACTACATGACTCTGTAGCAGTCGATGTCTCTTCATTTCCTACCCTCACATTGAAATATGCCGGCTGCTTAGGCTCATCGATGATCATAGCCTCATTGCTTAGCATAGCTATAACATCAGCCATAGTTGGTCGATCGGCTGCATTCTCTTGTACGCACAATAGTGCTATGTTAATGCACCTCATCATCTTTGTCGAGTGACTTTTGGAAAACGATGATGAACTAACGAGATCAATCCACCTTCCCTCATCCCATAATTGCCATGCCTGTTTGCAAATTGGAGGTTGTGTTATAACTTCTAATTCCTAAGTAATTGAAAATTGTACAACAAATTAAAAAAATGCATGCTTAAGTTTCTGTATAGAATCTCACATATCCAAGAAGATTGATGAAATCTCCATATTGTTGGTTTCCAGAATTCCGTTTTCCACTAAGGATCTCAAAGATAATAACACCAAAGCTGAAGACGTCGGATTTGATAGAGAAGACACCCTGTGAAGCATACTCAGGGGCCATGTAGCCACTAAAATTGTATATGACACATGTAAAAGTTAGTGCGTATTGTTCAAATGTAAGATAAATACTTATGAGATGATTTTATTTATATGAAACTTACTATGTACCAACCACTCTTGTTGTTGTGTTTCCTTCGGTGTTTGAGCTAAATATTTTTGCTAGCCCAAAATCTGAAATTTTTGGATTCATTTCACTGTCCAACAGAATGTTGCTAGGTTTCAGATCTCGATGTATGACACGCAACCGGGAGTGCTTATGTAGGTAAAGCAGTCCATGTGCTATTCCTTCGATTATCGCTACAAGTTTCGACCATTCCAGTAATTCTCTTCTTTTTTCATCTGCACGTCAATTAGATATCAGTATAACAGGGGGAATAGACAAGGTAAATGATCATATTCTTTACAGGCCAGTTACCTAGGGAATACAAACTATATATACTCATGGGGCTAGCAGTAACAAAATGTCGAGTCAATTTCTAGTCACTCTAATCCGTGAGAAAAAAAAGCATGTAAACTCAATTAAGAAATGCAAATGCATACCAAAGATGAAGAAATCCAAGCTTTTGTTTGGCAAGTATTCATACACCAATATTTTCTCCTCGTCTTGATAGCAACATCCCAAAAGCCTAACCAAATTGCTGTGCTGGAGTTTGGCTATGAGCTGGACTTCATTTTTGAACTCTGTGAAACCTTGACCAGAATGTGAAGCAAGTCGCTTAACTGCTATCTCTAGTCCATCAGTAAGCTTGCCCTGGGAAAAATATGTATTCAAAAGTTAGGCTCTACCCTCCTCATGTAAATTATGCTTCCATCCTGGTCATGTTGAGCTGTTAGTTTTCCCCCCTTCTGTTAGCATTTGCTGGCTTTGTTCGCCTGTAGTATTGTAATTTGGTTGTCTTTTCAATGTGAATGAAACAGGCGTTTTGCCCTGTGGGTTAAAAAGCTTCTAATCTATTCTCAAAACAAAAGAGCCTCTAATCTGCTTCTCAATTCCAAATTGCCAGCTGGAGGTTGGTCACAAAATGTGGGCTTATAAATTATTTCGTTCCCACAATAATTATAATTCATATAGACTAACTAAATACTCCCTCCCTTCACAAATATAAGATGTTTTGGATATTTCAGTATGAAGTTATATATGAACTACATACAGACTGAAAGGAGTAAACAAACACACTAAAACATGTCTATATAGATCCGAGTCACAAAAAAATTTAGAACATCTTATATTTGTGGACCGAGGGAGTAGTTCCCAATAAATAAGGAAATCATATAAGCATACAAATTTACCTTGTAGACAGGGCCAAAGCCACCTTGTCCAAGTTTGTTTTCTTCTGAAAAATTATTTGTGGCCTCTAGTAGCTGTTCAAAATCAAACACCATGAACTCTGAATTCCCCCCTTGCCAAACTAGTTGTCCGTCTCCTTCCAAATCTTGAGAACGCCTTGATCCTTGTAATGTCAGCAGTGTACCTAGATGTATGATTGAGAATAAGGGAAATTAATCCCTCACGTTTAGTCGTATCTGACACTATGATTAACTGGAAGTAATTCAAATAATGGAATGGAACATCGTTTCAGCACTTAATTAATTAATTAGTTAGTGGAGTACCTTTTTTTTGCTTTGTGAGACGACGAGAGTACAGGATGAAGAAGAGAAATGCTGCCGCCGCTAGAGGTACTAAAACTATGGCAATTATCCACAGCTTGCTCATGCGCCCTGATATGAAAGCATGTTAGCTCTGAATTAGTCTTCTACAAGTTCTTAATTAATTCTTGGCATAACTAGAAGAATCAACAAGGGTATAGGCTTACTCTTGTGTTCGGTTGGAGTCGGAGCCGGCGGCCCGAGGCTTATCATAGGCTGGCCTTGGTAGAACGGAGACGCCTCATACCTGAAGTAGCACCGTATGACGCCCATCTGTCCTCCCATGCGCAGGGACATGGTGGAGTTGATCAAGCCGAGGAGATGATTGAGGCATGCCAGGCAGTCCCCGGTGGACAGGTCCGGCGTGCACTGCGCCAACGAGTACACCATTGGGAAGGTCGTGCCGCTGTCCATGACGCCCGTGGCGAACCGCCTCGGTGTCGCGCTGGCCGCCTTCTCCACGGTCTCCACCAGCAGCTCGCGGATGAGGCCGGCGACGAGGGACACGTCGCCGGTGACGTTCTTGACGTTCCACCTCTCAAAGGGAGGGTCGCCACCGTTTTCATCTCCCGTACTATTGGTGTATATTGAGGGAGCAAGGATGTCGTTGAAGCTGTAGAGGAGGATAAAATCGCCATAGTAGGAGACCACCGTGTAGCACCCCAGGTCCGGTGGCGTGGCGTTCCGCACCAAGTCGAACCTGTTGGCGATGCTCTGGGAGCAGGCGGTGTCGTTGAGAATGTCACCACGGCAGAGCGCGAGCGCGTAGACGATGTCAGGGGCTTGGCCGACGGTGGCGGTGGCGAAGTGTACCGGGGAGGAGGAGGTTTTGTTGGGGAGGGTGGCGGCGAGGACCTTAACGTTGTCGCAGAACGCATCGGCGGCCGCCTCCTGGAACGGCGTGAGGCAGCTGAGCAAGAGCAGCAGGATGATCGCCATGCCTAGCTAGAACTGCCTGCTGTTGTTCTTGTCTCGGTCCAGGTGATGAACTCAGCCCGTGGCACATACAGTACTTATCAGCAAGTTACCTGGAAAAAGGAATAGTAGACCATTTTTTTCAGCTTATTTCTGGCCAGCCCATTTCAGTTGGTCAGTATTAGTATGACTAGTCAACACCTAACTTTGGAATCATAATTTTTCTTCTTATTCCGTAGAGAGTTCTTTTTTCTGTTGTTTCGGAATTTGTAGAGAGTTTAGTTAGCCCGTGTTTGGCGCTACTTGTGCGTTGTGTCTATACGCTATACAGAATCGAGCTTCTTTGAAGTGATTCAGCTTAAATATTTCTATCAAGAAGCTAAGGCAAAATTGCTGACAGTGCTAGGCAGTTTTTTTTTCATATATGGGTTTTCA